TGTTCCAGGAGCCGTAGCCACCATTGGATATCTTCCTGGCACTCGGTAGTCAGACTGATGCGGTAGTGAGGCTGCTGGTCGCGACTGCAAATAGACCACAGGCGCCGCATAAATGTCCGGGTACGATGACTCTTGCAGCGAAGGAGAGTTTCCCCAGAAGAGATTCGAGTTCGCGCTGAGACATGGTGGGGTTGATGCTCGCTGCAGTCAACAGGCGCTTGATGTCGGCCAATTTGTCGTCAGGGAGCCGGGCTTCCAGCTTCTCACAATCCAGGATAATGCCCAGGAATGTCAGGGTACGAGACGGGCCTTCCACCTTTGCAGGCGCGAGCGGGACTCCGAGGTATGAGAATGCACGGAGAAGAATGGCCAGCTGCCGATTCGCCACTGCCTGGCCCACGCTCACGCACAAGTAGTCGTCCAGGAAATGCAGCAAATTAGGGATGGAGAATTCGTGGTGCATTATCCATTCGATGGTGGCTGCCACTGCATCAAATACCGCCGGGCTAGACCGGAGCCCAAATGGCAAGACACGGTCGTAGTAGTACTTCCCCTGCCACAGGATGCCGAGGAGATGCCAATCCTGTGGGCGGACAGGTATTTGACGAAAAGCACTCTTCACATCGAGTTTAGAGAGATAGACAGGAGACGGGGAGGACATAATGATGTTAATGGCTTCATCAATGCTGATGTACTGCAAAGAGAAAGGCTCGGTAGGGATCCCGTCGTTAACGCTGGAGCCGGCAGGGCTGGACAGGTGGTGTATCAAGCGTAGCTTGCCATTCTTTTTTCGGAACAGCGCCAATGCCAGAGCAGTACATAAATGGGAATGGGGGCGAGTCAAATGGGCCAGCCGTGTAGCCGGCGTTGCAGGAAGCGGTGAGCTGTGCAGACACAAATGCAGAGTGCTGGAATGCTGATGAGAGGTTGGACGAGTGCTGGTTAGTTATGCGGTTGCCGGTAAAGCCAATGTCAAAGCCGCAGCGGAGGCCGTTAATAATATACGAAGCCAATGAACTGTCAGGGTGGTTACGGAGCAGTGATTCGAAGCGAGAAACAGAGAGGGGTGTGTGGACAGCAGGACATGCGCTTGTGAAATCAGTAGAACGTGAAGTGCAGGGAGAAATATGTACAATCGCGGGAGCTGCAGCCAAAGCAGCAGAGTTACTGGCGCCTACCGCACTTAGATCCGTTGTGGTCCTTGGACCCGCAGCGGTTGCAGACATGGGCGTACTTGCACGTGCTGAGACTGCAACGCCCAGCGTTGAAGTTCCGGCAGATCGGTTGGCCATTAGACACCGTACGGACTCCATTGAAGGCTTGCTGGTTGTTACGTTGCGGACGAAAGGGACGCTGGCCGCTTTCGGGATGGATGAGGCGGCAGGACTCACATGTGGGCCTTGATCGGCTAGTCACGGACATTTGCCACAGATTTATGTCGATGACGTCAAAGCGCTTGCCTGGCTGAGCAGAAATGGCAGAGCGAAACTGGGTGTCGTACGACAGCCAAGCCTCCGGATAGTATTGCCTGTTGGCTGCAACTATGGTGGCTTGGTAGGAGAGCATCTCCTGCAGGCGGGACGGGTTGGCAGAACACACGACGTTCATGAAGAGAGTCCATGCCTCCAGCCATGTCGGCAAGTAGTGGACGCGTTGACGAACGGGCTGCGCCGCTCCACCTTCCACCACCTCCAGAGACTGGCCGCCACTGCTGAACTGCAGCTGAAGCTGGCGTGGGGCCGAATACGAGGTGGCGATAGTATCCGGCGGGCAGCAGCTGGGTGAAATCTACAAAGTCACCCTTCAATATTTTCTCTCGTATAGTCTGGGGAACGGAGAGATTACCAGCGTTGGAAGACTCCGCCGAAGGTTGAGTTCCAGCGGATCCAGGGGCAGTGATGGTGGCCAGCATTGGAGCGATCGCCTCCGACAAGGCAACGGTGACAGCGGAATGTACTTCCTGCCGCACAAACTGGCGCAAATCGTCATTACTGCTCCGGTCCGGGATCTGGGGAGTCGGAGAAGCTGCTGCAGCACTCTCCAGATCCTGCTCTTGCTCCTGCTCGTGCTCCTGCCGCGAGGATGGCGTGGCCGACGGAGATCGAGGTTCCCGTGCCGCCGAGCTCGACGTGTCCTGGATACTGAGCAGCAAACGGGCAAGAAGCTGGGGCTTTGTTCCGCTCGAATTCAGCCCACGGCCTTCCAGCTCGGCCCGCAAGTCCGACACGTTCATACGGCGTGCTTCAGAGGTAGACAACATGTTTGTCGTGCAGTAAACGGCTGCGAGGAATCTACAAGGAGTCTGAATAATTAATTCTATTCTCAACAAACAATTTCCGGTTGCTGCTCAGTGACACTGCAAAGGAAAGCGCAAGCCAAAGTCAGCGCAGCAAGAGCTACCCAAGGCGATTTGGGCGCGCATGGGCAGCAGTTGAGTGCACGTGTAAAGCCAGCTTGATCGCAGCTAGCATGAGATAGAGAGCAGCGCATCGGTCTTATCGCTAACTAGGGTTAGCCCAAAAGCTAACCCAACATTTTGATCATCCTGGTGCTTTTTTGTCCATAGTCGTCAACCAGTACGCATGAATG